TTCTTCCTCTCTCCCAGGACCCTGCAGCTTGTGGTGGCTTCTCGACTCCTCAGGAAGGATGAAAGAGACTGAATCTGTAAACCTAGCGAGGATGGAAGGGGGAAGATGGACAGTTGACCTGGTCAGGTTGTCTCCTGCATCCCTCCTCACAGCCTCTGAGCGTTCCCTCCCAGGGACCTCCGAGATATCTGGTGAGTCCCAGGGGAGGGGAGATGGGGACATGGATGGATGGGGCTGGAGAGGTACTGGAGCTTGCTCATTTTGGGGGTGGTATGAGGCAGTCAGGCGGATGGAGTTTGAGAAGGTGAGCACCTTTTTGGGCTCCTCCCCCTGCCTTCCAGCGCCTTTGACATCTGCAGGCAATTTGAGCCAGGAATACGTCACAGCTCCCCGGCCACCGCGATGTATTGGCGCCAGTACTGGGCTCTGAATGCCCTACCAATGTCAGAGAACTCACTGATCCATTGTGCAGCACTAGAAGCCATGATTCTTTAAATTACCTGATCCTAATTTCAGGACTGATTGCCGATGGGCCTCTGTGTTTTGCCTTTTACTTTTCTTTTAGGAATAACTTTTCCTTTTCTTTTAAAAACAAGGATCATATAGGACTAATATATGATACAAAACTTCTTTTAAAAACAAGGATCATATAGGACTAATATATGATACAAATATGTAGACTTCTCAGTCTTCTCAAAACTAGTAGAAGTAATTTGCAGGAATTTCTATAACATATGGTTCATCGTTAGTGGTCAGTGTATCAGTTCTGAGTTCATAAATTGGTTTAAATTGGGCGGGGGGGGAGGAGAGATAGGAGAGAACAGAGCAACAGAACAAGTGACTGATCCATCGCGCAGCACTAGAAGCTGATCCTAAATTTTTAAATTACCTGATCCTAATTTCAGGATTGACTGCAGGTGGGGCCTCCGTGAGTTGCCACATTATCTTTTCTTTTTGGAACAACTTTTTATTGCTTTTAAAAGCAAGGATTATAGGACTAATAAATGATACAAATGTATAGACTCATTCTTCTTCGTTGTGCTTAGATTAAGTGTGAGTAATTGTCATTTTCCATCTTATGTTACCAATTAAACTACCCTTATTTTTCGCTCCATCGGACGCACTTTTTCCCCTCCAGAAATGCAGAGGAAATGTTTGTGCGTCCTATGGAGCGAATGCAGGCTTTCGCTGAAGCCTGGAGGGCGATAGGGGTCGGTGCGCAGCGGGGGTTGGCGCTGCACACCCGGGCTTCAGGCTGCTGTCCGCGAGCCTTTGGCGCCCGGCGGGAACTCCTGCCGCGCTCCAAAGGCTTGTGGATAGCTGCCTGTTCTGGGGGCCCAGCCCCGCAGCTAAAAACGAAGCCAAGAGAGCTAGCGGGATCCATCCCGCTCGCTGTCTTGGCTTCTGCCAAAGCCTCCCGCAGCCTCTCCCGGCTGGAGAGTTTGCGTGCGACTAAAGAGGAAGCCAAGACAGCCAGCGGAATGGATCCCACTCACTGTTTTGGCTTCTTTGCTCTTTGGGGACGCTGTTTACAATTCTGGATGTATGGCAACCATGTCTATATACAGTGGTACCTCGGTTCTCAAACAGCTTAGTTCCTGAACAACTTTGAACTCGAATGCTGCAAACCTGGAAGTCAGTGTTCCAGTTTGCGAACTTTGCTTCGGAAGCCGAACGTGCTCCTGAGCTTCTGTTTTCACTGTTGCGCTGCTAATTTGTGTCCCCCTGCATTGGAATCAAAGCCTTCTTCCTTCTGTTTTCACTGTTCCGCTGCTAAATTTGCGCCGCCCCCCCATTGTAATCAAAGCCTTCCATTTCCAATTGCAGTGCTCTGAGGTGATATTTGGAGCTTATATCTGGTGCTTTTTTTTTTTTTTGCTAAAAGAAATTGCGTTTTTATTTGGCTTTTTCGGTTTTGTGACTGTGGCTTGTTCTCTGTTTTTGATTGATTGTGTGACTGCGGCAATGTATAAAAGCCCCATCCAAACAATGTCTATCAATCAGTGCAGGTAAGAAAAAATAATAATTTTAATTTGAATCTAAAGTACTGCCTTCTTTCTTTTATAGTACAGTACATTGATTATTGCTTTCATTTTATGGATGAATGCTCTCGTTAGATAGTAAAATTCATGTTAAATTGCTGTTTTAGGAGTTGTTTTTAAAAGTTGAATTGGTTAATCTGTTTTGCATTACTTTCTTTATTTAAAATTTATTTTATTTTATTCAAGTTTAGGATTTCTTACATACATATATTATGTTCTTACCATTTTTAAATTTTCTCATACAATTTTTAAATTTTAAATTATACCCATTGTCATGAAATCATAGAATCATAGGATCATAGAGTTGGAAGAGACCACAAGGGCCATCGAGTCCAACCCCCTGCCAAGCAGGAAACACCATCAGAGCACTCCTGACATATGGTTGTCAAGCCTCTGCTTAAAGACCTCCAAAGAAGGAGACTCCACCACACTCCTTGGCAGCAAATTCCACTGTCGAACAGCTCTTACTGTCAGGAAGTTCTTCCTAATGTTTAGGTGGAATCTTCTTTCTTGTAGTTTGGATCCATTGCTCCGTGTCCGCTTCTCTGGAGCAGCAGAAAACAACCTTTCTCCCTCCTCTATGTGACATCCTTTTATATATTTGAACATGGCTATCATATCACCCCTTAACCTCCTCTTCTCCAGGCTAAACATGCCCAGCTCCCTTAGCCGTTCCTCATAAGGCATCGTTTCCAGGCCTTTGACCATTTTGGTTGCCCTCCTCTGGACACGTTCCAGTTTGTCAGTGTCCTTCTTGAACTGTGGTGCCCAGAACTGGACACAGTACTCCAGGTGAGGTCTGACCAGAGCAGAATACAGTGGCACTATTACTTCCCTTGATCTAGATGCTATACTCCTATTGATGCAGCCCAGAATTGCATTGGCTTTTTTAGCTGCTGCGTCACACTGAAATCAAAATCTATTGAAAGCTTCCCTTTAAAAATTTCATTAATAACCTTTAGGATTTTTTCCAGAATTCCTTTACCTCTGGGAATTCCCTGTACATATGGGAAAACCATCCCTTGGCTTGTTTATGTGAGGAGAATCAGAACTTACAGGGTTAAACAGTTCTGAGTGACGTCTCACATTCTGAGGTGTGGCTATGTTCACATACGGGTATGTTTCTCTGTGTGTGTGCTCTCTTTCGCTTTTGATGGCAGAAATATGCCAGCCAATTCGCCGGGCTGATTTATGTTGTTATTCTACTTATTAAAGACTATTGGAGATAAGAGAAAAGCCTGCATTCAGCTTGATTAATTTTCCACACACAGCAACAGCTTTCCCTACTGCGTGAACTCTGCTAAAGCCTTACGTAAGAGAGCTAAGGGAGCTGGAAGAAGTTTTCGCTCGGCACGGATGTCCAGTGACGCAGCAAGGAAACGTGCCGGGCGCCATTTTATCTAACAGGTTATGGGGGTCAGCCAAGCTTTTGAAGCTGTTGCTGCGTTGTGCCTCTGTGTGGGGGAAGCCAGCTGAGCTGAGCTAGAGCCAGTTGGAGTTTTGCCTAACGTTTTGAGGCAGAGAGAAGCTCGCTGGGAGGATCTGATCTGCAGAACCGGATGCCGGAGGAGCTGCAGAACCGGGTGCCGGAGGAGCAGAAAGCCCTGGGAGCTATCGTGCTCAGTTTGGAGGGCTCACAGCTGCCTTTGGTAGAGGGGCTGGAGACTGCTCATGAGGCCTACCAGGCACTAGAGAGAGTGCATCACAGGACCACAGCTGGGGCAAAAATCCACACTACCAGACGCTTGTTTGAGATGAAGCTGCGTCCTGGTGATAGCATCAGACAGCATGTGACTGAGATGCTTTCTGTTTTCAACCAGCTGAGACTGTTGCAAGTCAACTTTTCTGAGGAACTGAAAGTTTATATTTTGATCAGCTCTTTCGACAAAAGTTATGACAATTTGTGTCTAACTTTGGAATCGATGAATCCAGCCGATCTTACGCTGCAGTATGTGACTGGTCGCTTATGTGACGAACAGGAACGCCGCCTAAGAGAGGGCCGAGCTGGCACAGAGAGCCCATCCGGTTGCAGGGGGGGGGCCAGGCCAGCGGAAGGCACAGTTCAGGCTTTTTCCACTCGTCGCTGCTTTATCTGTGGGTCGGTTGAACATCTGCGTCGATCCTGCCCCCGGAGAGCCAGAGAGGCTGGGCAGGATGTCTCCAAGGTCGCTTCCCATGGCAGTCAGCCAGGTTTCCATGGTAGCCAGTCCAGGAGAGGGGGCCAGTGTGGGAATGCGCAGGGAGGACGTGACACAGGAAGTCAGGACGGTTCTTATCACCTAGCTGCCTCCATGGCAACACTAAGGGACAACTCCAGTGAGGGCAGAGTGCTGCGTTGGGTCATTGATTCAGGAGCCAGTCACCATCTGATGCCAGCATCACCTAGTGGTGAAATGTGGAACTGCAGGGCTGTTTCAACTGGGAAAACAGTCATTTTTGCTGATGGGTCACAGAGACATTTAACGACTGTTGGAAATGTGTTTGTTTCTTTTTTTACAGGCAGAGCTGGAGGTCTACATTGTGCCTGAAATGAAATATTGTCTTTTATCTGTATCTTGTCTTTTACAGGAAGGGTATAAGATTTGCTTTGAAAATAATGTCTGTTCTATTTCCAGGGGTGGGAGGCAACTGGTCAGTGTTGCATGTCAGAACAACCTCTTTGTTCTGGAGACACCTCTGGAGGGAAAGGGGGACGCTGAGGAAGCACAGGCGAAGTGTGCAAACGTTCCACCTCATGATTCATGTGCTCATTTGTGGCACAGGAGAATGTCACATGGCTGTTGGGAAGGTATCCAGAAGTTGCCCGAGTGCACTGTAGGTTGCAAGATGAAAGCATGTGGAAAATCCCTAAATTGTAGGGCATGCAGAAGGGCAAAGGTAAAAGGGTGCAGTTATCCCAGATTGGAAAGGGTAACCACAAAGCCTTTTGAGCTTGTGCACACAAACCTTTGTGGTCCCATGCCAGAGAGTCTGGGCGGGGCCAGATTTGCGCTGACGCTGACAGATGATTTTACCCAGAACGCCTGGGTCTTCTCGCTGAAAAGCAAAAGCGAGGCAGCGCAACTGATCAAAGATTGGGTTGCGGCAGTGGAACTACAGTTTTCCACCAAGGTGCAGAGTTTCCAGAGTGACCGAGGCGCAGGGTTCACTGGGTCTGCTCTGCAGAGTTTCTTCCGCCAGAAGGGAATACGTCACAGGTTGACGGTTACTACTTCTCCTCAGGAGATTGGTGTGGCGGAGCGCAGGAGCAGGGCACTAGCTGAAGCAGCTGGCGCTTTACTGTTTGACTCTGGTTTGCCTCAGAGTTTTTGGGGGGAGGCGGTGAAGACGGTCAATTTCACGATGAACCGGTCCTACAATTCAGTGGTAGGTGACACCCCGTATTTCTTGCTGCACCAGAAGAAGCCGATGGTGCATTTCTTCCGTGTGTTTGGTTGCGAAGCCTGGGTGCTTGTGCCAAAGGTTCAACGAAAGAAAGGTGACCCGAGGTCCCGGAAAATGATATTTTGTGGGTACGAGCCTGGGACAAAGGGGTGGAGGTTTGCATATCCAGATGGTGATCAGTCCAGGATTCTAGTCAGCAGAAATGCTGAGTTCTGTGAGCAGAATGGTTGGTCAAGGATCCATGCGAATCCTGCCGTTCTCTCAGAATGTCTGCTTGATTCTGAGGAGGAGGGAGAGGCAGAAGCTGAACCTGTTGATGAGGACCAGGTCGCTGACCAAGGTCAAGAACAGGATTGGGCATCTCCACAGGTTGTTAAAAGAGAACCCAAGAGTGAGCCTTCGTCTCCTGTTAGCAAAGTTCAGAAGGCTCGAAGACGCAGTAAGTCAGAGGGGGAGCCTTCTGGTACCAGTGACACACTTGCTGGCCCCAGTGGGTCAGAGAGAGCACCTGAGACAGTGCTCAGACGTTCCGCACGCTCCACGAAGGGGGTACCACCTGAGAGGTTTCAGGTCACCAGCGCGTTGATTGGTTTCGCACAGTGCGAACCTGAGAGTTTCGAGAAAGTTCAACAGTTGCCTGAGACAGAAGCCAGGAAGGGGCAAGAGGCAATGGGCAAGGAGTTGAACTCAAAGAGGTCTGTAGATGTGTGCTCACAGTTTCCCTCAGGATGCGAGACGAGAGGGGGTGTGAGGAGAATCAGAACTTACAGGGTTAAACAGTTCTGAGTGACGTCTCACATTCTGAGGCGTGGCTATGTTCACCTATGGGTATGTTTCTCTCTGTGTGTGCTCTCTTTCGCTTTTGATGGCGGAAAGATGCCAGCCAATTCGCCGGGCTGATTTATGTTGTTATTCTACTCATTAAAGACTATTGGAGATAAGAGAAAAGCCTGCATTCAGCTTGATTAATTTTCCACACACAGCAACAGCTTTCCCCACTGCGTGAACTCTGCTAAAGCCTTAAGTAAGAGAGCTAAGGGAGCTGGAAGAAGTTTTCGCTCGGCACGGACATCCAGTGACGCAGCAAGGAAACGTGCCGGGCGCCATTTTATCTAACAGTTTACAGTGCCAACAGCTAGAATTCAATCCTGCTACCATATTAGCAAGCTGGGCTGGAGTTCTGTACCATTTTAGAAAGAATTTTAATTTCAGTGCTTTAAATTTGCTTACAGTGGTACCTCGCAAGACGAAAAGAATCCGTTCCGCGATTCTCTTCGTCTAGCGGTTTTTTCGTCTTGCAAAGCAAGCCCATTAGCGGATTAGCGCTATTAGTGGCAAAGCGGCTAAGAGGCTATTAGTGGCTTAGCAGCTTAGAAAAAGGGGAAGCAAGCCCATAGGGAAATTCGTCTTGCGAAGCGCCTCCAAAACGGAACACCCTTTCGTCTAGCGGGTTTTTCGTCTTTCGAGGCATTCGTCTTGCGGGGCACCACTGTACTTTAATCTCATCTGTTCCTTTCATTATCCTTTCAACCGTTGCTTCGCTAACTTGTTCTTCCTTCCTCCACATCTTTTGAATAAGTTGGGTTGTCTGTTCATTTGTTTGTATAGTTCCTCTACTGGCTCTTCTAAACTCCTATTTCCTGTCTCTTGGACTTTGGAAATTTTGTTGTATAGTCCTCCAATTTTTAACCAATATTGGTTACCTACCGTATTTTTCGCACCATAGGACGCACCGGACAATAGGACACACCTTGTTTTAGAGGGGGGAGAACAAGAAAAAAAATTCTCCCCCTCTCTGCCCAGTGCCCCTTCAGCGAAGCGGCAGGAGGCGCTGCGCAGAGAGGGGGAGAATTTCCCCCCTCTTGTTTTCCCGCTCTAAAACAAGGTGCTGTTTAAGGTTCGTTCAGGCGGCTACCTTGGAAGCCTGGAGAACGAGAGGGGTCGGTGTGCATTTCAGGTACCTTTCGACTTGCTCTTTGGGGCTGGCGGGGGGAAGCCCACCACCAGCCCCAAAGAGCAGGTCAGGGAGCAGCGGAAAGGCGCAGCGGAGAGGCTGCTGCCATAGTCGGGCGTCACCTCTCCAGCTGGGAGAGCATCGCGGGGCTATGGCTTCTTTAGCCCCTCACACGCTCTCCCAGCTGGAGAGGTGGCGCGCGGCTAAAGAGGATCCTGTCATAGCCGCGCGTCACCTCTCCAGCCGGGAGAGGGTCGCGGGACTATGGCTCCTGCAGGGCTCCCCACGCTGCGGATGTCTGTCCGGCGCGAGGGGCGCTCTGTTTCAGGGCGCCGCTCGCTCTGGGCGGCAGATTGCTATCTGCAGCGTGGGGAGCTCTGCAGGGAACTCCTGCAGGGCTCCCCTCGCTACAGATGTCTGCCCGGCGCGAGGGGCGCTCTGCTTCAGGGCGCCCCTCGCAGCAGGCGGCAGGCTGCTATGTTCAAAAACATTACCAGTACAAGCAGTTGTGGCATTTCTGTGCACTCTGGTTTTCACCAATGTACCCTGTTGCGCCAGAAGCGGTTTAGTCCTGCTGGCCACGTGACCCGGAAAAGCTGTCTGCGGACAAACGCCAGCCCCCTCAGCCTGACAACAGAGACGAGCGCCCCAACCCCACAGTCGCCTTTGACTGGACGTAAACATACAGGGGTCCTTTACCTTTTGAATATCCCAGTGTTATTGTGCGTGGGGGGAGGGTAATCTCCTGCGTGGTAGGGGCTTCATCCTGCCATGCAAGCCCTGCAGGTGTTGGGTTCCCACTTTGCAGCTGGATTGCATAGATCCGGGGCCCAGTAAGGGCCCTTTTTGGGGGGCCCTCCCTTCCCCATCACTGCATCTTCATCTCTTTGTCCTCTCTGCCCATCCGCCTCCCTTGCTTGCTCCTCCGGGAGTCTATTTCTGTGAGTCAAGGGGGGGTACCACCCCCCCTCTATGATGGGGGGGCAGTTCTTTCCTGTTCAGTTCTTCCTGTACTGGATCCTCAGGGATCCTGCACCTCAGCCCACAAGGCCCCTTTTCTGCAAGGTGGTTCTTTGGCCACTTCTTCCCTGCCTCTGGTTTGCAGAAAGCTGCGAAATCTGCACATGCCCAGAGTATGGAGGATTTTCAAAACTGTTGTTATGTTTGGTGTGGGGAAGAAAGGGGGTGGGGAGCTGTCTGCGGACAAAGGTCCAGGGGCCCTTCACCTTCGCCTTCCCTTTGGTGGGCATCGCACTTCAGTTTCCGCAAAGGGGCCCCTGGGGGTGCAGGGCAGGGGAGCATCTCTTGGCCCCCCAGGAAAAGAGAAACGCGTGTGGGTGGGGGGGGGGAGACTTCCAAGGAGAACCTGCAGGTCCCCAACTTCGCAGCCAGATCCCTCGTACCCTGCCGGTGGGTCCCAGGGAAGGCGCTTCCAGGAAAGGCCCTTTAACATTCAAATATTGAGTCATTTCAAAGTAGGGATCCAGATGCACACTGCAGAATGCAGAAACCCCACCTCCCTTGTCGTCAGTCAGCCTAAGATGGGGGGGGGGCCTTGATGCAGAGTCCTTGGCCCAGATGGAGAAGGGAGGGCAGCCCTAGAGCGCAGAAGCAGGCAGGGAGAGGGAGGGAGGGAGGGAGGGAGGGAGGGAGGGAGGGAGGGGCGGTCTGGGTGCCCTCGGCTTGCCAAGGGTTAAAAGGAGCAGAGCGGGATTCCTAGAGAGGACAGGAAGGGGAGGGCGGTGGGGGAGGGCAAGGTCCTCCAGAGCAGAAGCCCCTCCCTGCCCAGTCCCTTCCTGCCAGCAAAGAGGAGGCTGCTTTGTTCTCTCTGCTTTGCAAAAACTTCCTCGGTGCCCCTCCTGGAATCCGGTGAGTCTCTTCTCTCATCCCCCTTGGGCAGGAGAGCATCTCTTGGCCCCCCAGGGAGAGAGAAACGTCTGTGTGTGTGTGTGTGTGTGTGTGTGTGTGTGTAAGATGCACACGGCAGAATGGTACCCGGGAACCCCCACCTCCCTTGTCAGTCTGCATAAGAATGGGGGGGGGGCCTTGATGCAGAGTCCTTGGCCCAGATGGAGGAGGGAGGGCAGCCCCTAGAGCGCAGAAGCAGGCAGGGAGAGGGAGGGAGGGGCGGACTCGGCCCCCGCGGCTTGCCAAGGGTTAAAAGGAGCAGAGCTGGATTCCTAGAGAGGACAGGAAGGGGAGGGCAAGGTCCTCCCGAGCAGAAGCCCCTCCCTGCCCAGTCCCTTCCTGCCAGCAAAGAGGAGGCTGCTTTGTTCTCTCTGCTTTGCAAAAACTTCCTCGGTGCCCCTCCTGGAATCTGGTGAGTCTCTTCTCTCTTCCCCCTTGGGGTGCAGTGGGGAGAAGGGGGTCCCAGGGCTGCAAGGGAGGAGGCAAGCCTCCCCCCGTTCAACTCATGCATGGGGGGGGGAGACCACCAAGTCAGGGAGCAGAGGGTCCTGCCCCCAGTTCCTCTCTGCCATGCCAGGGAGGGGCTGAGTGTCCAGCAGGTCTGCAACTCTGTTCTTCCTTTGGATCAAGATGCTGCCTTCCTTTTTGGGGAGGGGTCTTTGGGGCAACAAAAAGAGGGCATGCAAATAAGCCCCCTTCAGATTGAGGGGAAGGTCGCATTTCACAACACAGAGAAGCATCCAAGGACTCCGAGGAAGGAGAAGCCCTGTGGAGTGGGGAGATACAGCCCCCCCCCAAGTGTGGAGACTGGAGGGGAGACCCTCTCCCACCATCTACCCAAATACAATTCCCAGAGTTCCCTGGCAAGAAGGGGGGATTGGTGACCACTCTGGGAATTGCAGTCTTTGGGCAGCAGGGCTGAAGCTGTCTCCTTGCAACTCTCAGGGTCCTGAACCAATTCTGGCTCCCAGGATTCTTGGGAGGAGTCCCTAGGGCCGGGTGAGATCTGGTTTCCAGCCTTGTTAAACATCTGCCCCCTCCCAGCAGAGCAAGTGCGCAGACTGGCATGTGCCACTCTTGGGAGCAGGAGCTGCATCCAGCCTTGCTCAGCTCAATATTTTTAGGAAGACCAAGCCCCTCCTGCCCTGGCAAGACACTGGGGTGAAGCTGCAACGCCATCAACATCCTGTATGAATAATAATAATAACAATAGTATTTACCTGCTACCCAGTTGACTGGGTTTTTCCAGACACTCAGGGCGGCTTCCAGCACATACAATATACAGGGCTGCCTTCAGGTGTCTTCTAAAGGTTACATAGTTACTCATCTCCTTGACATCTGATGGGAGCGTGTTCCACAGGGAGGGGGCCACTACCAAGAAGACCCTCAGCCTGCTTCCCTGTAACTTCTCTTCTTGCACTGAGGGAACCGCCAGAAGGCCCTTGGTGCTGGACCTCAGGTCCAGGCTGAATGATGGGGGTGGAGATGCTCCTTCGGGTATCCTGGGCCGAGGCCGTTTAGGGCTTTAAAGGTCAGCATCAACACTTTAAATTCTGCTTGGAAACATACTGGGAACCAATGTAGTTCCTTTAGGAGCGGTCTTACATTGTTCCAGCAGCCACTCCCAGTCACCAGTCTAGCCTCCGCATTCTGCAGAACACTAAGTGAATGACACAGAAGTTGCTACAAATGGTATAAGGTAACATGATATGGAATTAAGGGAAAAGATGGTGTTGATCTGGAGTGGTTACAAAATTTCTGGTCTCTCCCCGAGTGCCACGGGCCCTGCTCCAAAGAGAGCTTCTCTAAAGAAAGCACAACCAAAAATCACTCCATTTTGCGTGAATAAGGAAAATGAGGAGGTGGCTAAGAAACAGCAGGAGCCAGATTCTATTCCCAACCTTCTAGGGTCTCTCAGCAGCTCTAATGATGAGCAGAAAGAGGTTTGGGGCCCAGCCAGCTCAACTGCTAAGACATCTCTTGCATTGAGACGTGGGGGCACCTACATGTAATAACTATTTGGCTGTATTCTGCCCATGCTCTGGGTTTCCAGTTTTCCAGCTTGGGGACAGGATGGTGCCTGATTTTTGCACCTAGTTCTATCCATAAGCCCCACTGAGTTCAATGGGGTCCACTCTCAGGTCACTAGTGTGCATACCATGCCATCCTTAAGAAGTGGGGTGAGGTGCAAACAGATTAAATGGGAATCACTGGAGATGTTGCAAATGGGGTTTCTGTTGGGAAGGGGCTGTCCCATTTGTGCTTCTCCAGAAGCAGGGGAATATCTAGGGCAGGAGAATCCCTGCAGGGCCTCTGAGGCTCCCTTTGCTTCTTCCTCTCTCCCAGGACCCTGCAGCTTGTGGTGGCTTCCCGACTCCTCAGGAAGGATGAAAGAGACTGAATCTGTAAACCTAGCGAGGATGGAAGGGGGAGGATGGACAGTTGACCTGGTCAGGTTGTCTCCTGCATCCCTCCTTACAGCCTCTGAGCGTTCCCTCCCAGGGACCTCCGAGATATCTGGTGAGTCCCAGGGGAGGGGAGATGGGGACATGGATGGATGGGGCTGGAGAGGTACTGGAGCTTGCTCAGCTTGGGGGTGGGATGAGGCAGGCAGGCGGATGGAGATTGAGAAGGTGGGCACCTTTTTGGGCTCCTCCACCTGCCTTCCTGCGCCAATGACATCTGCGGGGAATTTGAGCTAGGAATACATCACAGCTCCCTGGCCACCGCGATGTACTGGTGCCAGTACTGTGCTCTGAATACCTTACCAATGTCAGAGAACTCACTGATCCATCGCGCAGCACTAGAAGCCATGATTCTTTAAATTACCTGATCCTAATTTCAGGATTGACTGCAGATGGGGCCACTGTGTTTCGCCTTTTACTTTTCTTTTAGGAATAACTTTTCCTTTTCTTTTAAAAACAAGGATCATATAGGACTAATATATGATACAAATATGTAGACTGAGTCTTCTTAGTCTTCTCATGTGATTCTCAAAACTAGTAGAAGTAATTTGCAGGAATTTCTATAACATATGGTTCATCGTTAGTGGTCAGTGTATCAGTTCTGAGTTCATGAATTGGTTTAAATTGGGCGGGGGGAGGAGGAGAGATAGGAGAGAACAGAGCAACAGAACAAGTGACTGATCCATCGCGCAGCACTAGAAGCTGATCCTAAATTCTTAAATTACCTGATCCTAATTTCAGGAATGACTGCAGGTGGGGCCTCCGTGTGTTGCCCCATTATCTTTTCTTTTTGGAACAACTTTTTATTGCTTTTAAAAGCAAGGATTATAGGACTAATAAATGATACAAATGTATAGACTCATTCTTCTCATGTCATTTGAATATCTCAAAACTAGCAGAATAAATTTGCAGGAATAACATGTTGTCAGGGCCGCCTCAGGTCCCAGCTCACAAGAGACCAACGCCAAGTCCACTTTATTTACAAAAGTCTTTATTGAAGTACATTGTTTGTTCCACAGCCGAGGCGCGCAGCCCCACGTCTGTTACGCTTAGACCGCTGAAGTCCCCTCTGAATCAGTCCCGCCTCTACACCAGTTTAAGAGGCTTGTGCTGGTCCACCTCTTCCTGTCCTTCCTTTTCCGCAGGGTCTTTCTGCCCCCCTGGGTTCCTTCCCTCCTGCTTTCCCCTGACGCTGAGTCCCCAGACGCCTGCTCCCCCCTCCTCCGTGCTTTGGGACCAGGCTCCTCCTCCGGGCTCTCCGCATTTCCGCGCGCCTCCACATTTGAACTTGGCGCGCGTTCGCTACCCCTGACCTTCCTCTTGACAGTTATACTACTCTCTGTACTACTCTCCGCCCCTTCCGGCAGGACGTCTTGCCCCGATCTCCTTCCCCTCTCTGCTTCCTGCTCTGCTCCGCCTGTCACACTGGGAACTCCACCCTCTTCACTCCGTTCCGGCTGGGAAGCCTGCCCCGATCTCCCACTCCCACTCGGGGTTTCCCTGCTGCTCCCCTGCTCCTGACGAGTCCCCCCTGTGGCTCCCCTTGGCCTGACCAGGGGCGCCCCCTTTTGGGAATCCTCCGATTCACTTGAGAGACTCATGGAAGCCCTCAAGTCATTGTCATCCTCCTCCGCCTCGTTCCTGGATTCTTCCCCCTCGCTCTCAGTCTCCTCCCTCATCTGTGCCTCTCTCCCTGAACCCCTGACATCCATCCCCCCCTCGAAGCCCCCCCTTCCCCCCTCCCACCCGTCGGGCGCAGGTTTTGGGAGCCGCGTCTCTGCGGGGGTAGATGCTGGATACAGTTCGTCTACTTCGATCTCCTCTGCTTCCAGCTCAGTGTATGTGTGCTCGAACTCAGGTTCGTCTCCCAAGGTGTTCTCGGTCTCTTCTCCCATTGTTACTTCGTCCGGTGCTGTTGGCCAAGGCCCCTCCCTCCACCTCCTGCGCCAGTCCTCCTCTGGTTGCTCGTCCCACCAATAAGAGCGTTCCGTCTCCACCCCCGAGCACGATCCCCTGGGGGGGCTCAACTCTGGCGTTCCCTCCTCCGTGGAAGAAAACCCCCGGAAAGTGCTGGCTGAAAGTGTGGGCGTAAAAAGCCAGTCGTCAAAGTACTCTGCTGGCATGGGCCTGTGTGGGAAAAGGGCATGGAACTCGTCCTTGAGAAGAGGCTCGTCCAAAGCGTAGTCCGGCACCCAACTGTTGGCGCTGGCTGGGGTACCCTCTCTGGCGAGAAAATATTCTACTCCCTCTTCCCCCCATCTCGAGTCCAGAATCTCTGTGACCTCGTTGATTGGTTCGGCCCTAGGTGACCTCCCCCTCTTGGGTGACTCTCTGCGTGGTTCTGGTGCCGTCCCTGACTCCTGAAATCTGTGTGGGGCCTTGTAGGGGGTGAGCACCGACCTATGAAAGACCGGGTGCATTCTGGAACCTTCGGGGAGGGCCAGTCGAAACGCTACGGGATTGATCCTGGCCTCAACTTGGTATGGCCCTAGCTGCCTGTGTCCTAGCTTCTTCTTAGCTAATGACTTGGCCGGCACCGCTTCGGCCGCTAACCATACCCAGTCCCCCACCTGGATGTCTTCTCCCGCCCTCCTGTGTTTGTCCGCCTGCACCTTATAGGCTTGCTTAGCTAGCTCCAAATGTCTCCGCAGCTCCTCGTGCACCTCTTGCAGTTCTGCTGCGAAATGGTCGGCCCCCTGCGGCGCCCCCTCCCCCGTCGTTATGAGCCCCGGGAAGGTTCTGGGATGTCGTCCATTGTTAGCGAAGAACGGCGTCACCCCCGTCGACGCGTGCTTCGTGTTGTTGTAGGCAAACTCAGCCATCGGCAGGTAATCCACCCAAGCTGCGGGTCGCTGATTGGCGTAACATCTCAGGTACTGCTGCATGATAGCGTTGACCCTCTCTGCTTGGCCGTTGGTCTGCGGATGTCTCGCCGACGATAGGTTGA